AGCAAATGCGCTCTTCCATGTGAGCACATGCTTCATTCACGTGGCTTACAGCACCTTTTGGAGGTGACGTTTTCTCTTTGCCAAGCTTGTCACTTGTTCCGCTCACCTCCTCCCCACTCCACCTGTCCTGACCTCAAGCACAGCAGCTAACGGCACTGCCCGGCTCCCCCTGGAGGACCAAACACTTCATTTACTCGCTAACACCTGGCAGGCAGGGTGCTGGGCATCGGGCAGTGACTTGGCTTGAACATCAGGAGAGGGTGAGGGGGAAAGAGTGTTCACGAAATAATGTGAACACGAGATAACGATCTCCAGGATCAATTTTTTACAGAGAAAATGACCATAAACATGACATGCGGGAGTCAGAGACCAGCTACTCTGCAAATAAACAGAACGGTGACTATGAGGCTTAAGATCAGCCAGCATGTCTCAGTTTACCACCTTTATTGCAGCTCCGTGGGTGTTTCCCTAGAGATTAGATCTAGAACGTTCTGTAATCGTAATCTGCTGACAAACCATTGTAATAAATCAGAGTTGATCATGTCGAATCCCTCTGAGAGCTTCAGCGGTAGCCACCCCGCCTCTGTGAGGAAACCGCAAGCTCTTAGACTACAGAGCACTCAGCATCAGAGCACTCAGCATCAGAGCACTCAGCATCAGAACACACGGCATCAGAGCACTCAGCATCAGTACACTCAGCATCAGACTCAGCATCAGAGCACTCAGCATCAGAACACACGGCATCAGAGCACTCAGCATCAGAGCACTCAGCATCAGAACACACGGCATCAGAGCACTCAGCATCAGAGCACTCAGCATCAGAACACACGGCATCAGAGCACTCAGCATCAGAGCACTCAGCATCTGAACACTCGGCATCAGAAGAACACTCAGCAGAGCACTCAGCATCAGAACACTCAGCATCAGAACACTCAGCATCTGAACACTCTGGATCAGAACCCGCTTGCCTTTCCTCCACAGCGTCAGCTCCAGCTACAGGAGCTCCTTGAATTTGTCCAAAGAGCCGTGTTCTTTCTCGCTTCTGAGACTTTGCTGAAGTTCAGGCCTAGTCA